GATGGACGGATGGATCGATGGACGGATGGATCGATGGACGGATGGATTGATGGACGGATGGATCGATGGACGGATGGATCGATGGACGGATGGATTGATGGATGGATAGATTGATCGATCCTAACTCTGGTCCTTGAGGAACCCAGTCCTGCATGTTCTAGTTGTTTCCCAGCTTTGACACACCTGTTTTGAATGAATGAGTGATTAACTTCAGGAAATAATAAAATCATTGAATCAGGTGTTGGAACAGAGAAACAATTAAATCATACAGGATGGCGTTCCTCAAGGACCATGGTTGGGAACCACTGATTTATAACACTGTGTGTGTGTTTTCTGCAGCTGACTCAGTGAAATGTAGAAAACAGCAGTGAGTTTTACAGATCTCGAGCTAGAATGAGGTGTGGTAGTAGCTGAGAGTGATTTGTTTAAAACTCTTGCAGGCGAAGGGGCGAGTGTCGCGTTCCTTCAAGGAAAGTCGTTTCATTGTGAATGTTTCTGAGTGCTTCCCTTCTCTGCGCAGCTGCGTCCTGGATGAGATGGACTTCTCCGGGATGGATCTGGACGAGGCTCTGAGGAAGTTCCAGGCTCAGATTAAAGTTCAGGGTGAAGCTCAGCGGGTGGAGAGGCTGGTGGAGGCCTTCAGGTTTCAACCACAGCAGAACCTCTGAATGCTTGTGTGACGATGTTTGACACGACTCCTTCACTCGTCCTCTTTGCCTTTCTGTCTGCAGTCAGAGGTACTGTGTCTGCAACCCGGTGCTGATCCGGCAGTTCCAGAATCCAGACACCATCTTCATCCTGGCCTTCGCCATCATCCTCCTGAACACGGACATGTACAGCCCCAACGTCAAGCCTGAGAGGAAGATGAAGCTGGAGGACTTCATCAAGAACCTGCGGGGTGAATAAAACCAGCAGTCAAAGTTCTTGTTCCCGTAGTTTCAGTCTATCCTGCGGTGACCGACAGGTGCAAACACGCCGCAAACAGCTAATGCGCTGCAAACAGCTAAATGAGCCGCAAACAGCTAAATGAGCCGCAAACAGCTAAATGAGCCGCTAACAGCTAAATGAGCTGCTAACAGCTAAATGAGCCGCAAACAGCTAAATGAGCCGCTAACAGCTAAATGAGCCGCTAACAGCTAAATGAGCCGCTAACAGCTAAATGAGCCGCAAACAGTTAAATGAGCCGCAAACAGTTAAATGAGCCGCAAACAGCTAATGCGCTGCAAACAGCTAAATGAGCCGCAAACAGCTAAATGAGCCGCTAACAGCTAAATGAGCCGC